TTGGCACAACTCACCTTTATTTATATAAATAATTGGGGGCGGAGTTAACTGTGAACAGTGGGGGTTGGGGGCGGAGTTAACTGTGTGCAGTGAGCCTCAGGCAGCACTCAGGACAGAGAGGGGCTCTGAGAGACACAGGAGGAGTGAATCACCTGTTGTCTGTGGGTTTAACGTGAGATAATAATGTTATTTGTTGACATTATTTGGAAAGTGTTTTGTTAATAAAAGCTCAGAAGAGCACACTTTGGTTCCTTTTTTAATATTTAAATTAGAGCGCTGCTTCACTGATCAGTCCATCAGTGATGGTTTTAGAACGTGTCCTGTGGGCGACCTGGTGCCCCTGGGCACCGTGTTGGTGACCCCTGATCTGGAGTATTATTGAAGGATTATTGCTCAGAATTAAATTAGAAATCTAATCCAGAAAGTTGTGTACCTGTCTGCTTCATTTTACCCACAAAGTAAAATAAAAAGTATGTTGGGCTGGGAGCAGAATGTTTTTCTGATAAAATTTTAGATCAAACTCATTTTTCTAACAAGTCACAATGTGCGAGGAGGGACATAAAAAATGAGAAAAAGCTGATAAAATTAGTAATATTTATAATCTTGAGAGAAAATGTGCTGCAGGTTGTAACAGGCCCGTCTCTCAGATGTCTACTTTCATGAGCTGCTGCTGACGGTTCTAAGAAGTGGACTGATTTGATGTAGAAAATGAATTCTGGACGGACTTATAAAAGGTTTTTGTTTATAGCTCAATAACAAATCATTTTTGTGTCTTCATCCTTCAGTGGTCTGAACTGTCAAGTTCCTTTAAAAACTTAACGTTTTAGTATTTAAATCACATTAATGTGCACTGTTTTTCAGGGGATGATTTATTTACAGAACACCTTCTGATATAATCTGTACATAATGACCTTCATGGTGTTTGGATGAAGAATAACCTGCAGTCTCTGCTGCCCACCCACCAGGGGGCGCCGTGGAGCCATTCAGTTCTTTTAAAGCTCTTGGATAAAACAATAAATGAATAATAAAGTTTTTAATTTCTTCTGTTATTATGATAAAGTCTTCAACAAACTCTTTATGTGTTTACAGTAATATTTGATCAGTTATGTTAAAATTAAATGATTTTAACAGTTAAAGACAGGATTCACTGATCGTCACAGTTCAGTGTTTGACTTTTATTAAAGAGGCTGTGAGCCCAAATGCTTTACAAGAATGTGGGCTGTAGTTGGTCTTAACATGGGAATTACCAATAAATATCAGTTTATAATGGTTTTTATTTCACTTTGTAACATGTAAATTATAGTTTTCTAAGCAGAACTTAAGCTAATACAAAGAAAATAAATGTTTTTATTCAAATAAAGGCAGTTGTTGGTGCCAGCTGTTTGTTGAAATAACCCAACTTCTTGTTCAGTTTGACTTCTGTTGGTTACAAACTGATTTTAATGCTGTGAAGTTTTATTTTATTAAAGGTTTTTAATGATGGCAGAGTTTCTTCATGTGCGCACGGTGCTCGTTCTCACGTCTCCGGGGAATCTAACCGTTTCCTGTTCCTGGTTTAGGTGAACCCATCTGACCGATACCACCTGATGCCCATCATCACACCTGCCTATCCTCAGCAGAACTCCACCTACAACGTCTCCACGTCAACACGCACCATCATGACCGAGGAGTTCAAACATGGTAAAACACTGGCTCAGACACACAAACTCATGATGTCACCACAAACACACAAACTCAGAGTGATKTCACCACAAACACACAAACTCAGAGTGATGTCACCAACAGGCCTCAGCGTCACAGATGAGATTCTTCAGGGCAAAGCAGAATGGTCCAAGCTCTTTGAGCCTCCAAACTTCTTCCAAAAATACAAGTAAGTGTTGCTTTTCTCCCAGACGGTTCCAGACCTGTAAGGATTGTCCACACACACACACACACACACAGGCCTCCTGCGGCTCACAGACGACTGCAGAG